ACTAGGCACACAAGAATAAGCCGCACGTGGTAATAAGTACAGAAACAGATTTGAGCAGTGATGGAGTTATTCTGGATTTGGCAACAGGTGACAACCTCTTTGAGGAGGTTGGCATTTAACCTGAGATCTGGATGACAAGGCGGGGCCAGCATGAAAGGAGAATGGGAAGAGAGGTAGAAGAGTGACTGGCCAGTGTCCCTCAGGCCGCTTGGCAGTGAGTGGCTGGGTAGAGGAGGAGAAGCATAGAGAATCCACAAGGTTGATTGGAGGCTACAGCAGCCATCTGAGATGAGGGGGATACAGGGGGACTAGGCTTGGAATTTTTTGGGTGGATGGAGAGTGCTTGTTGCTGGACTGCTACCTGCCGGACCTGCCCAACGTGCCTCACAGAGTTTGTTCTATTTTTTTATTTTATTTTTTTTTAATTTTTTTGGCTTAAACAACTAAGTGGGTAGAGGTACTAATTACTAAAGTAAGGAAGCTGGAAAGGTCTGTGTTAGCCAGATTAACCTGTCAGACATCTTGAAGAAGGTATGTTCAAAGGCCAGATGGACGAATAAGATTGAAGTGCATTGCCCGACAGTGGTGATGCACGCCTTTAATCCCAGCACTTGGGAGGCAGAGGCGGGCGGATTTCTGAGTTCGAGGCCAGCCTGGTCTACGGAGTGAGTTCCAGGACAGCCAGGGTTAGAACTTTGTCTCGAAAAAACAAATATATATATATATATATATATATATATATATATATATATATATGCATTAAAAGACCTTATTGCCTGGGGCACGACTTTCTATGCAGCCTGTTTACCGCTTCTGCATGTGCTTCTGTTTGGTCCCTTCCACACCGTTCATTTTGTGCTCCCTGACTGCCAGGAGTAAGGGAGCCATGGTCCTGTCCTCAGAGAATTATCAATACAGTCACGCGGCCGTCGCAGAACACATGTGAGCTAGCTAGAATACAAAGAGCAAAGTCCACGTATAGGGTAAGAGTAGCTGAGAAGGCTCCGCAAAGGAGTTGACACCTCAGAGACGCCATATCTGGGGGAATACTGGGTGTGGGACTCCTATCCAAGGAGCCGAGAAGGGAAGACAGGAAGGTGGTACGAAGGGTGCCTACCTTTATGCCTTGCCCCTTAAGGAAGCAGCATTAGGAAGGCCCTTCCTGGGGTTAGACATCCACACTTGCAAGCCAGGGAGCTTCCTCCCCAACCTCCTGGCTGATGGTCCCGCGGGCCCAGAACCTCTCCCTGGTAATTGCTTTCCATAATGTGTTTGCTCCAAACCAATTTCACGCCTCCGTGAGGACTCCGCCCTGCACAGGAGGCGCGGACCTCCCTACTACCAACCTACAGCCTGTGAACGGGTGGGCTCACACATACCACACACATTGAATACACCGAGTCTGAGAATCCTGACACACTAAAGTTGCACATGCCTACACACATGCACACTAGACTTCAAGACATTCGTGAACGATCCCCACGCTGAACCTCTCACTTACTGTGGAGTGAGAAGCTCTCTGAAGCTTGGACCTCTTGTCTGATTCCAGTTCCTTTGCCTTTGGCACCTCTCCCGACTAACGCCAGGGGGCGCTGCGGCACTCCATGCCTCCCTCGCGTAACTGTAGTTGCGTTCTAGTGCCACCAGAGGGTACCCGCGGACAGAAGCCGACGAGGCCCACAGTGGGAGGACGCTCCAGCCTGAGTGAGTCAGAGACGTGGACCTGCTGGCTTTAGAACACTTTGTTCATTCTTTGTGTCTAGGTGTAACTGCCAGCACATGAAGGAGAGGCCAGAAGATGAAGCCTGACATAGGACCAAGCAAAAAGAGTAGATCAAATGATTTATCCAGTTGTAAGGTGAATGCCTATGGTGTGTGGTGGTGGTGGGGATCTCTATGAGTTTGAATCCAGTCTGGTTTACTGGTCTATATACAAGAACTAGACCAGCCAGGCCACGTAGTGAGGCCCTGGTTTTTGGTTTTTTGTTTCAAAAACAGATAAGTAAACAATCACATTTAAGACTCTCTCTCCAACAAAGACATAAAAACAAAACCAAAAAAAAAAAAAAAAAATCCTATGCAAGAGCATTTTCCGACGCCATGTGCCACGAGACTGGCCCAACTCAGAGTACACGAACAGCTCCATTTATTTTATTATTTGTTTTTAATCTTTTTAGATTTACTTTTATGTGCAGGAGTCTTTTGTCTACATATGCATATGAGTACCGTGTTCATGCCTGGTGCCCAGCGGGGTCAGAAGAGGGATTCAGATTCCCTGAAACAGATATTACAGAAGGTTGAGAGCTGCCACTTGCATGCTGGGAACAGAACCCATGTCCTCTGGAAGAGCAGCCAGAGCTCTTTAAGGGTGGAACCATCACTTTATCTCCCTAGCTCCGTTTTAGGAAAGCCCAGGTACTAGATGGTCAGAGATTCAGTAACAAAGTAACCATTTTCTGCTCCTTCAAATGTGCTGGGCAATGGTGTCTGTCCTTGGTCCTAAAGTGCTGCAGACTGAGGGAGGTGGCTCCCTGGGCAGGTGTGCCCTTCCTTTGTTCCTTGCAGGAGAACTGGTTTATAGGAGGTAGCCTCGTATTCATGAAATCCTTACCTCTTAACTAGTCAGAGTAGATAATATGCTCCCTCTCTCAAACACAGAGAAGTCAAACAGAGGCCATGGCCATGTGACTCAGGGAGGACCAGGACTTCTTCCAACTCTTTTTTAATCCTCCCTCATTTACAGTGAGGTCTGAGTTTCACCCCAAATAGAAGGGCAGGGATAGAAACTGGACTGCAGCAGTCACCCCTGAACATGTGATACTAGCTACTGAATATCAAAGACAGAAACAGGCACTCTTATGACCCCAGCAGGGCAAGGGGCTGATTGACGATATAAGTGGGTTACAAAGCTCAGTATCTGGCACACATGCCAGGTCAGCACAAAGCCCCCGAGGTCTTGCTTAGTTCACTTGTGAGTGGGTTGCATGCTGGGATTTATTGGTACCAAAATATAATGCTACTACTCTGTACTAAAACTCTATTGCTCTGAGTTTTAGTGCTAGACAACACACTCTTGGCTTGAGGTAGATGACATACATTTTTGAACTCAGAAGGTCTTTACCCTTCAGACTCTGAGAGTGCATGATCCATTCTGTGCCACAGAGAATGGGTAGGCTTGTTTAAGTGTGCATGTACTACCAGAACTTTGGGACAGAGATATTTCAACATACATCCTTTTTGAGCTTTTGAAATTTTGTTCCATGCAATGTTATTACCTATGCAAAAAAATGAATGCAATTACTTTTAAAAATGGCTCTTCTCCGTGCGTTATTTGATTGGTGCGGAAGCTGCTCATACAGCTTTAATTGCAGTAATTGTAGCTCAAAGTTCCCTCCATAATTCATCAAGTCAATAAGCCCCTATTATGTATCCAACACTGTAAAGCCATCAAACCGAGTACTTGACCTCTCCCTTCTTAAGTACAATACACTTTTGAAATCTGGTCTTCATTATCAGTACCGTGGAAGGCTTGGTTAACTTAACAAAGGTTGCTCAGAAGACGAGATCTTTAGCCAAAGATGAACTCTAGTTGTTTGTTGTGAGCTGTAGTTCCCAGACCTAAGCTAAAGCCCCTTTTCTCTAAGGTGACATCTCCCCAGTGTAGTCTCTTGTGTTCACTGGGAGAGTGTAGAGCCCAAAGTATATCAGGACTGCACAGACATGACACCATCTTCTTTTCACTCCTCAGATGAATTCTGAAGGCAGGACCTCCCTCCTTCTCTCCTCCCACTCATAGGGCTTCACTGTGTACCCCTGGCTGGCCTGGTCTCAGGTTCAGACTGGCCTAGAACTCCCTAGGTAGCTGAGGATGACCTTGAATTTCTGATCTTCCTGCTTCTGAATATCAACAGGAGTTCAAAACCAGCTCAAACCTTATCTTATTTAATCCCGTCTTGGTGCAACCCTGCTGACATCAGCGTGACAATACCTCGACTCACTAGCTAATACAATACTTCTGCTTGGGACAAATGTCAGAGACCCAGTAGTCCCTTCTGTCCAGCTCTGTCCTCTGTGGGAGCTCTGTAGGTTTTCCTCTGTATCTAAGTAGGACCACTCGCACTCCTTAACAGCATCCTGTTGACTTGCCTGGCTTTGCTATTGCTCCTTTTAACTGTTAGGCTCTTCCTCACCCCACCCGAATAGTTCCTTAGTCCAAAGGCTGCACTTTTGCTGGCCAGGCTTGCTCTCCCTTTGCAAGTCCGCGCCCCTCTTCTTCCTTGTCTTGTTCTCACTCTCTGACCTGAGGTGCTTATGCAGCCAAAAGCCAATGACTTTTGCCTCTAGAGCGACAAGTCTGCTGCTGGGAATCAGAGGAGGGGGACAGTCAAGGCGGAATGGGGGAGGTGAGCAGAGTCATCTGCAATTAGCAGATAATTAGCGCTGCTGACCCTTGGGGCTCATCAGCGCTCCTGGGGCCAGCCCCCGGCAATCAGCCCGGGCAGGTCGAGAGTGTCAGGCCCGAGAATGAATAGGGCTCATCAGACGCGCTGGAGCCAGGGAGCCAATCAGGGAAATTAATGGAGAGAGAGAGAGAGAGAGAGAGAGAGAGAGAGAGAGAGAGAGAGAGAAATGAGAAAATAGATAGATTGGGATAGAGACTCCAAAAGAGAGAAATAGGAATTTAAAAGGAGGCTAAAAGAGAGGAAAGAGTGAGAGGAAGGAAAAGAATGGAAAGGGTGAGAAAGAGGTGGAGGGGGAAAGGTAAAGGAGGGGGAAGGGTAAGTACTTGCCACTGTGTAGGCACCCAGGAATTCCCGCAGAAGCGAGAAGTTAGAGATAGAGTAGGAATGAGAGAGAAGGAGCTGGAGCCAATGCTTAGAGAATCGAGTCCCGGGCAGAGAGTGAGAAGGGACTGGGAAGACAGCAGGAAAGCGGTCGCCCACGAGTGGCCCCGGGCGCACACCGGGCCCTGGGCGGAGAGCGCGCCCCCTGCTGCCCCACGTCGCGTCCCGGCTCCTAGGGATCGCCACTCCGTGCGCCCCGAGTCGCTCCTGGCGTCCCGCGCACCCCCGCCCCGCCCCGCCGCACCCCTCTCTCCCTTCGAGCCGCGCCGAGCCCGGGCCGCGTGGGCTGAGCCGGGAGCAGGTCCGGGCGCGGGGAGGGGACCTGGCCAGCTGCCGCCGCCGCCTCCTCGCCCGCCGCAAACTTTCACAAAGCGGCGGGTCCGGCCTCATCAATCTGCATTAATAATAGTTGGTTGGGCCGCGGGGGGCGGGCGGGGTCCCGGGCCGGCCGGGCCACTGGGAAGGCGCGGGGCGCGGGGCGCGGGAGCCGGGCGCGGCGGCGGGCGGAGGGAGCAAGTGAAGCGTAATTTGAGGAAGATGGATGAGTCCGGAGGGCGACACCCCCAGCCCGCCCGCCCGCCCCCTCCCTCCTTATGAGCGAGGGAGCGCGGCGCCGGAGCCACACTGCGCCGAGCCCGCGCCCCGCCGCCACCTCGGCCCGCGCGCCCGCAGCGAGCCCTGCGTGTCCGCGCGGGGCGCACGGCGGGGCCCGGGCAGCGCCATGCAGAGAGCGGCGGGCGGCGGCGCCCCCGGGGGCAGCGGCGGGAGCAGCGGCGGCCCCGGCGCCGCCTTCTCCATCGACTCGCTCATCGGGCCGCCGCCGCCGCGCTCGGGCCACCTGCTCTACACCGGCTACCCCATGTTCATGCCCTACCGGCCGCTCGTGCTGCCGCAGGCGCTGGCCCCCGCGCCGCTGCCCGCCGGCCTGCCGCCGCTCGCCCCGCTCGCCTCGTTCGCGGGCCGCCTGAGCAACACCTTCTGCGCGGGGCTGGGCCAGGCGGTACCCTCGATGGTGGCGCTGACCACTGCGCTGCCCAGCTTCGCAGAGCCCCCCGACGCCTACTACGGGCCCCCGGAGCTCGCCGCTGCCGCTGCCGCCTCCAACGCCTCGCGAAGCAACCCGGAGCCCGCGGCCCGGCGCACGGACGGAGCGCTGGATGCCGAGGAGCTGCTCCCCGCGCGCGAGAAAGTGACTGAGCCCCCGCCGCCCCCGCCTCCGCACTTCTCAGAGACTTTCCCGAGTCTGCCCGGTAAGTACTGGGACCGACACGGGTTGGGTCGTCAGGAAGTCCCACACCCGGGGCCGGTCCAAAACTCCCGCCATCTGCTTGGAGCCCTGGAATGCTGGACTCCAGATCATACGCGGTGTTCAGTCCTGAACATCTCCAAGTCCCAAAGCCTTGCTCTGGCCCCGGAGCGCCTGAAGCCTCACCGGCAGCACGTTTCTCACAGCGTTATAGTCCACAAGCCTCGCCCTGTCTCTTTTTCACAATCCCTTCGTTTTTCTCCTCTCAAGGGTTGTATTCAGGAGGGTCCCAGCAGGACCTTAGGGCAACAGCATACTGGGGTAGCTGTCGGTTTAGTGCGTGGGGACACGTTCTAAATCGACTCCTCAACACTCAAAGAGTGGACATGGGCTTTATGGATGCAGGGCACAAGGAGGGCCTGGTGAGCCTGCGGCTTCACCTTAGTAGAGGTCGCTCTCGAATTCTCCTTTAAACTAGATCTAAAAACATTGGAGAACCAGGGAGGGTGCTGGACCAGGCTGGCCAGGACTGCAGATGCTAAAGGCTGGCAGAGTTGGGTGTGGCATAAAGATTTAGAGTTGAGAATCCTGCTAAGATTTAGCTGAGCTATCATTTAAGAGTCCTGGGCTCTCCCGGGGAAGATGCCTTCTCCACAGAGACAGGGTGTAGTAAACGAACCCCGATCAGAATCCATTCCCTTGAAGCCCTCTTGTCCTGACCTCGGTATCTACCCTAAAGCTTTCTCTCAGTCAGGCAGAGCCAGGTGTGTTGAGATCAAGGCTTCTGCAATCTGGTGAGTTCTGATTAAGGAAGACAGCCCGTGCAAGGGTAGAGAGCTTCAACTTCCTCCGCACTAGGACGAGCCCACTTCTGCTTCACAGTTCATGGCACTTAGGTTGGGATGGAAAGGACTCGAAGGATTTGGAAGCTGATCATAGCAGAAGAAAGAAGAGGGTCCAAGAATCATTGGTTAGGACAGGCAATTCCTGATGACAAGTCCTTGCCGTGAAACCGCTGTTCACTCTTTCAGATGTCAGTGGCTGTCAAAAAGCCTGCCTTCTATTTTCTAATTTACTTCTGGATGTTTTGGCTGTGGAGATTCATCTGTTAATTCCTTTTCTAAACTAGTTGCTCCAAGAGGATCAGAAGTCAGAGCAGTATCTGCTTAGGAGGACCTTAAGCAGAAGAGAGCTTCGGGAGATAGGGGACAGGATCTTCAGGACCAGAGAGCAGAGCTTGGAGGATGGAAACCAGCAGGAGGCTCCTAAGAAAGAAGGATTGGGATAGTTCAGATGCAGGGAAAGAGCAGGGCTGGATACTGAAGAGATGCTTTGGAGGCTACAGGGAGGAGGCAGCTCCAGGCACATGTAAGAAAGCCTAGAGCTGGAAGGAGGTGGGAGGAACCACAGGTGGACCAGAACTGAGAGGGTGTGTCCTTACCATGGGAGCACTATCCTCATTCCTACACTGCCAGGGTCCCTCTGTTCTTTCTCTCTATGGTGAAGGTTCTTTTCTGAAATAAACCCAACATGGGCAATTAAACCAAATATATGGACAGAGAGGAAAAGGACAGAAGAGAAACACTGAGAAAGAAGTAAGGAAAGACCTATGGTGGGGGATGGGGGGTGGAGATTGCGAATAGGGCATGGACTGTTTGAGGGAAGAGGAAGTCGGGCTGGGCTGAAAGAAAAGTGAGCAACGTCACTGAAAAAAAAAAGTGTGTGAGGACGAAGGGAAGAGAGTTCTGTCATTCGAGAACTGGGAGAAAGCTAAAGGAAGATGCCGGGGCAAGCTGAGTTTCAGTATCAGGAGTGTTACTCTCTAGACAGGTTTCAGTTCTAAGGGCAGTTGGTGGCTGGAGACACAGAGAAAGTGAGGAAGAACACATCTCCTGATCTAAGAAAAATGTAACACAGAGAGAGAGAGAGAGAGAGAGGTGTGTGTGTGTGTGTGTGTGTGTGTACTGCTGTGGAGCATAGAGAAAGGGTTTTGTTGGCACTATAACAGGAAAGAGACCTGGAAGCAGTTCTGTCATCTGTGTGCTGAAGGTCACGCCCCACCCTGGGAAGATCTATAGCAGCACCACCGTGGGTGCTACAGGAACAGTGAGGAAGGCAGGCGTCAGAGCAAACATCGGAGGCTCGCTCACAGGGGCGGGGTCCTGGCCTGTGACTTCTCCCTCAGTACAGCTGTCCCAGCCTTTGGACAACCCCTTGCCTGTCTTCCTAGGTGTGAGTTACTGAAATGTTAGCATAAAATCCATCCGGGGGATGAGAATGGCCACTGAGGATGATGAGACATGAAGCCTCTATGGGTGGATTGTCCTGGAGGCTGTGGGATTGGGCAGGTCTCTGCTGTGTGTGATGAACAGGAACCTCCACAGAGAAGAGTCTGGGAGCAGTGCAGTCCTTAAGGAGACAGAGGAAGAGTTGCTTTCCTGGTAGGCACAGGTGGCTGGAATTATTGGTCACCCACACTTGTTGAATGGGATAGCTGGGTGTGATGGCACCTGTAACCAGGAGGTAGAGGCTGGCAGATGAGGAGGTCAAAGTCAACCATAGCTACATATTATGTTGGAGGCCAGCCTGGATTACTTAAAAGCCCATCTTAAAAAGAAAAGAAGAAAAAAACTTATAGTGAAGATAGGCCAGTTCGGAGAATGAAACAGTTCTATTCTTTGGGAATCACAGAAAAGTGTTTTCAACTAGTTATGGATTAAGAAAGAGGTCATTCTCTGAGAACTAGGGAAGAAAGGCCCCTGAAATGCATTATAATTTGAGTGTAGGGGAGAAAGTTATGTTAGCAATGAAAAGAAGACCTAAGTGAAGAAATGATGGATAGGAAAAGCACTGAGTGTGGTAGATTCGATTGTTCAAGGCTTGGAGTGGGGGTGGGGCAATAGGACCAATGAGGCAGCCTTTTAACAGGAGCGAAAAAGACAAGAGGATTTGAATGGGTAGTGGGGATTAAATATAGATCAGTAGGCTGGGGAAGTAAAATGCTCACCTAGCACAGGGTAGGGTATTGAATTCTGTACACACACACATGCACACAGTACATACACACACACAGTACATACACACACTCACACACATCCACACACAGGCATGCACAGTACACACACACGCATACACGCACATACACACATACACACACACACTACCCCACAGGCACATGCCAACAGAAGAACCCAAAGTAGCTCAAGGAAACCATATATTCTTATGTGTACTTTAAAGGTTTTCACTAGTCACATTAGAAAGATAAAAGGATGCAACGGGAAATAACAAACTTACTTAGTCAAATATGTCCAAAATACAGCTTCAACATTAATCTGTATGAACATCTGAACGGCATATTTTGTATCCTCTTTCTCCACTGTTTGAAACCCAGTGTTCTACGCTCCCCCCTCTGCTCTCTTCAGGTCCGCCATGTTTCAGGAGCACATCCTGAGGGTCTGAAAGAACAGGCTCATGAAAGAGACAGAGGAAGGCCATGGGGAGGCAGGTCCTCAGCAATCCAAGAAACACCCAGAAGACTGCAGGGTGCTCCCAAGAACAAGAGCAGATTCAGCCCCAACTGGGAGGGTCAGAGCTGGTCTTGAGGGTCTGAAGAAGTGTGGGAGCTCTGACTGAGCATAGTCAGTCACAGCTAACCTGTGGGCCAGATATGGCAAGTGTGTGCAGCACTCAGCTGTTGACTGGAAAGGATGTTCTCTGCTGGGGAGTGCTGGGGTGAGGGGAACAACTGTCTTTTGGGGAAAATGCAGACCAAGACTTCAAAATGAGAATATCTGGAGTGTTCCATTGGAAGGTTGGACTGCTGGAAGGCGTAAACAGCAAGTGGGGGTGGGTACGTAACCATCAGAAGAGAGATAAAAACACAAGGAGAACGGTGTGTGACAGGACACCACCTTAGATGCTGAACAAATTTAGAATTTTTGTAGCTAGGGTGGTGTAAAGGATGTCAGCGTGTGAGGGACCAGCCCAAGAGGTGCCAGTGTCGTGAGCACCATCTTTTAAAAACCGAACAGGGAAGGATCTGTTAATTTCCGAAAGGAGATTGCAGTAATAATGGTAATCACGGAGGAGAGCAGGGAACTTCAGAGGAGTGTGCTAGTCAAGGGCTGATTGCTCTAAGCTGAGCACCTGATTGTAGCTAGGAAACATTTTTAGATGACCACTAATTAATTTCTGAATAGGTGCCCGTTATGACTGTCACGGTATGATATTTACCTGTGAGAGGGGATGGGAAACCCTGTGTTGTAGAGCCAGAGACTTCTGCTGTTCAAAACAAGATGGGAATGTTTTGGTTTAGGTGACACAGATCTAGAGTATATGTTCCTAGAACTTTCGAGAGAAGCTTCACAGAGAGTGATGGTTCCACTGGCTTTTTGTCTTGTTTGTTTGTTTGTTTAATGGTTTATCATTCTGTTTCCCAGGCTGAGCTCAGACTCACTGTGTAACCCAGGCTGGGCTCGCAGCAGTGCAGACTTCTGCCTGAGCCTCCCCCATGTGTTAGGACTCAGGCTGTGAACCACTGCGCTCAGCTTGCTCCATCAACCTTTTACGGTTTATTTTTATTTTATCTCTCTAAAATACTTTTACTTTTATTTGTAAATTATGTGCATATGTGTATACAGAAGCCAGAGGAGTGTGGGGTCCCCTGAGGCTGCAGTGACAGGTAGTTGTGAGACGTTTGACACGGGGGCTGAAGGAGAGCAGTGTGTGTTTCTAACCACTGAACCATCTCTCCAGCTGTTTTTGGTTTTTATTTTGAGAGAAGGTCTTGTGTATCCTAGGCTGGCTTCAAACTCACTGTGTGCAAGACATCTTGAACTTCCGATGTTATAGTCAGACAACTCTCCACTGACTCTTTTCTTCCTACCTCCCTCTCTCCCTCCCTCCCTCCCCCACCCCTCTCTCTCTCTCTCTCTCTCTTTCTTTCTTTTTTGTTTTTTCAAGACAGAGTTTCTTTGTAGAGCCCCGACTGTGCTCTGTAGACCA